GGTTCTTTTTAGTCTAACGCGCATTTTATAGTTCTACGTTGAATCGACGCCGTACCTATGGCGTAGGCTCCACGTCGACGTAGAGCCTACGCCATAACCTATGCTGTAGCCTAATGTGCACCTCCCCAGAATTGTAACTACGTGTCGCGGTGACGCAGACCTCCTGTCTGTCACTGTATACTGACACCATTTCCATCAGTGGAAAAGGAACTTGTATTTACTTTTAGTTCACAGATTCACAACAATAAATTGTGAAGACAGTAAGGCACCCATTAAAATAGCATTTTAAGTCTTGTGTGTGATTTATCCTTCAGGGATTTATACTTCGGGATTTATCCAGGCTTCATATGAGAAGAGGGAAAGATCACCGGCTGCTAGGCTAATCAATACAATGTAAAATGCCATAGGCTTGTGCTAATAATGTTAGCATGTAGTATTTGTTTAAAAAACGTGTCTAGTACAGGACAATTGTTTTGTCAGTGACTTTGTGAGCTGTAATGGAGCCAAATTGTGTGCCGTTACCTTTGTTAAATGTTGCCGTTGTCCCTGGTTTTATATGAGAAGATGAGAAGATCGCTAGCTACTAAGCTAATTTATACAATGTAAAATGCCATAGGCTTGTGCTAATAACGTTAGTGTGTTGTATTTCTGGGGAAAATGTGTCCGGATTAACACAAGTATTTGTCTGTGAATGCTGTGAGTTATAGTGAAGCCAATTTGTGTTTGTGTTTGAAATTGTCTCTATTAAGCCATATTTAATGTGTGTTTTTAATCAATTAAACTTTACAGCACTTCACAGAAACCTCCGCTGCCCACTAGTGTTTTGGAGGTGTAACTGCAGAGTGACACATCCCCTTTAAGGATCTCAAGGCAATTGAATCGAACGCAACTGGACTTAGTTTTGTCTTAGAAGACGTTTCTCCTCCTATCCAAGAGGCTTCATCAGTTTATGCCTGTCTGACTAGGCTGGAACTAGTCTGACAAACTGGTGTGGAAACCCCAGTATTTAACCTCTGAGGAGGCCTTCACAAGGCCACTGATGTCATTGGTTCGTTAGTGCTCCAAGGTGTGTCAACGACGGTCGTTGAAACTCCTGCTGCAACAGTGGTCTGTGGAGGCCATTTGTGAGCGACCATTGTTTTTAGAGATTAAGCTGTTAAATCTCCTGGGGAAAGATGAAAGGACAGCATTATAGGTGGGGGATAGGTGAACCTATTAAGCTACATCTAGACAAAGATAAGCTGTCTGCATGGTTGTGTCGCAGACCTCCTCCTCTGTTGAGAGATGGATTTTCCAATTTCACATAGATGGCTTCTTTTACCGTAAACAGAACAGTAAAAGAAGCCATCTTTAAAGCAGGCACAGAACATATGTGCTTGCTTGCTGTTGATTTGGTGTGTTCATGTGCCACTTCCTGGCTGCGACACGGCGGAGTGAGGTGACGCAGCAAGGGGTTACCGTAGCCGTTAGTTCATCATTGTCAGTTTGTTGTGTCTCATCATGAACCTTACATCCCTCCTAAGTTTCTTTCTCAGAGGAAAATTACATTACATTGGTTGGCAACACAGAAGTTGTTTGGCATTGTGACATTTTCTCTTTCAAAAAGGCAGTTCAATTTTATAGTGCTCCTATTGAAACTGAACATTACTTTCCACCATTTCCAAAAACTTTTTCCTCTCTTGACATCTCCTGTTGGTTGGTAGAGGTTAGCTCATTGAAGTCATAGTTGTAGTTGGCGGTCAGCAATTTCTCTATTCTATCGACAATGGCTAACAGTAACTGCTGAGTAGCCACTCCTACTCTGCTTGTTGTTTTTGTTTCCTTGTAATAGACCATAAATCACCCACCCCTGTAAAGTTCTAACAACATATGGTCCATCTTCATGACTACTGATTACCTCCCAAGGTTCCATCAACTGGGAGGCATTGGTGCTAATTAACAAGTGAACATCACCTCTTATACAAAGGATCTGTATACCTGTGTATACCCTAAATACCCTATACCCTGAATACCCTATTGTTGTCTGTAGACACAGGCATCTCTTTCTGGATAAACACACTGGGAAGCTCGTAGAAGTGCTTGCCAGAAAATTCAAAGATTTCCAATCCATTAATAATGCAACTTGGTACTACTTTGTAATTACCCAATTTTAGCTCTTTGTCCTTCAGTGTTCAACCTGTCCACCACTTTATTAGAGCAGCAGGTACCGGTGGTTCTTGGATTCAGAAAAGCATACAACTCAATCACATTATTTCCCTTTGTTCACCTCACAAAATAGGAGGAATACCGTCAGCTAGCTGTCCTATGCTTGGCAGTCAGTTGAACAGTGCGCTTTCCTGCCAATATGGCGTTGTTTTGATTTCGACTGTTGCATGCCAGGATTGCGTGACGTCAGCTTCCGGGGCTCTATGGGCCATTTCCATTGTCACTTTTGGTAGCGCCAAGTCAAGCCATGCAGCGCCAATTTGTGTGTCCATTATCAGTTTAGAAGTGCCATGCCACGCTGAGTTGCACCAGAGATGGACTATGTCCAGAGTAGGTCCAAAAACTGGGCCTCCCCCTGAAAGCCCCCGAGGACCCCGCTTCTCCCCTTCAAACAAGCTATGTGTGTTGTGAGACTCTACTCACCTCTGTCTGCAGTAGTGTTGTGTTGTTCGCAAACGAATCGTTCAAAAGAACGAATCTGTTGAGTGAACATACTGACCTGAATCACTTCCAGAACTGATTCATTCAGTTCATGAACACAATCACACACCTCCCCATTGTTTTAACAGACTTTAGTTTCCAGATAAACAAACTTAAAACATTAGGCTGGCCAGTAATGAGACTCACCAGTGCAAGGTAGACACAGCAGCAGCTCAGCTGTGTATCAGTTCAGTGAGTCAGACTATACAGTACACAGTCAGGGCTCCTTCTGCCAAGCACTGAACGATTCGGTTAACGAAACTTTTGAACGCATCTTTTTAATGAACTGATTCTAGTGATTCAGTAACATCTAAAGAACTGCTTTGCCCATCGCTGGTCTGCAGGAGACCAGAGAGAAAGGCAGTTATAAAAGTCTCTGTGTGTTCAGCTCACAGTTTATCTCCTGTGTCCTGTTTGTACGTTAGATGTCTGCTTTATTTTACTCTGTCATGTTCACTATCATCTGTATTAAAATTTGTATGAAGTCGCCATTCGAAAACTCAACATTTCCTTATTTTGCCACTCCACAATGAATGTTCCATAACAAACTTTTATTGTAAAAAATATAGGAAATTAAATGTGTTTATCACTGAATCAACAGACTAATAATACCATAGGGAGGAAAGTCAAAGCAGAAACTGCCATAGTGAGATGTTGATGAAGAGCTACAGACAACAGACTCTTACTGCACCTCTGCAAACAACTCAGCTCCAACAAGAAAACTTCTTTTACTTGCCCTTCTGTGGAAAAACTCATCCAGCAAAAATAACAGGGGACTTTAGCTATGTATCAGCCTGCTGCTTTTAAGCGTCAGCATTCAAGACAAGCCGTCATCAGCTAAAGACACATCTTCCAGAAGGTAGCCCTGTTGTTATGGAAATGCAAATTCCTGCTGCACTGGGCTGATGACCCAAACCAATCCAAGCCAAGCCAAGCCAGTCCATGACTGTCAAAAAGGGGTATTAGTTACTCAGTGGGATTTTACATTTAAACACAGATCAAACTGACCCAAGTTCTATCAAACAGTAACATTTTAGCAAAAGTGATGTTATGTCATGTTATCTTTTATATATGAATTAATTGAAACTATGTCATTTGTAGGGATGGGAATTGATAGGATTTTATTGATATCAATTCCCTTATCAATTCCTCCTGTGAATTTTCTGTGTAGAAAAAGTAGACCTTACAGGTTTTTGGTGTCAACAGCACAAATTTTATTGAGTTTCTATTCTAAGCAAGAGATAAGTGCTAAGTAAGTAAGTAAATAAAATATGAAATTGGTCCACCACTATCATCTAAAATGGAACAAATGAAAGAATATTTGTACAGCATTTGTTTTCATGTACGTCAAATAATGTTACAGAATCTGTCATTGAATGCGTTGTGCTATCGTTAACATGGGACAGGACATACGTACCATCTCTGGCACTTCTCTGCTGAGACTTTGCTGCAGCTGCACTCGTTGATTGGAGATTGTCGAACACATGGCACTCTGATATTTAATGCCATGTGACGACAAATGCTTCAGCATGTTGGTGGTGTTTCCGCCCTTGCATGTAATTACGGTGCTGCATAAATTGCACCTTGTGCTGTTAGAGTCTTTTTTGGTGAAGTGAAGCTTTCGACAGCTTCTGTCTCTCCACCATTACGTCTTCTTTGTTGTTGTGTGACGTGCATCATCGATGTAAAGATTCGGCATAATGAAAAGAATCGATAAGGGAATGGTTAAGCATAAAGGCTAATGATGTTGATGAATTGAACCAGTTGGAACCAGTTCTTAACAGGAACCGGTTCTGGATTCCCATCCCTAGTCATTTGGGCTGTTGACAGCAGCTGCTTTTCATTTTAAGGAGGAAGAAGGGTTTTTTTCAAAGTGACATTGTCTCATGTAAATAAAGCAATATGATATGCTAATTAGTCAGATTTTGTTACCTTCAGACAAAGTCAGGCTAGTTGTTGTTCCTCTGACTGCTGTCTTTATGCTAAGATAAGGTAACTAGCTGCAGCATCAGATTGAATGGACAGTTATGAGAGAGCTATCAGCCTTCTGATGTAAGTGAATAAGCACACTTCCCAAAATGTCAAACTGTTCCTTCAAGTCTGTGTACAGTATGTGTTTCCCCTGGCTACAAGACAAATGTCCTCGTGAGGAATATAAAATTGAAGTTGACTCCTTGACAGCACTTGTACCTTATAAATATTAACAACTAAATTGGTGTAATTGAAATTGATTGTGCACATCAGCAATATATAATCAAATATGGCTCTAATGCCTCTGCCTCTATGACCTGACTGATCTGTTCCTGCTGCTCAAGGTGAAGTGTTTGACTACCTCGTGTCTCATGGAAGAATGAAGGAGGTTGAAGCCAGAGCCAAATTTCGACAGGTACAAACACATCCCCTTTTGATACCCACATTGTACCAGTCCTCACATTGCCCTGTCAGTAATTAGGCTTGTCTGTCTCCTGTGTTCACAGATTGTTTCAGCTGTCCACTACTGCCACACGAAGAACATCGTCCACAGAGATTTGAAGGTGAGCTCAGAAGATGTTTTGGGCTGATTTTAGAGATGGCAGATTAAGGCTAGTCCAAGACTAGCTAAAGACATTACTTGCACTGACAGATTACACTAAACGGAAAGTTATAATCGGGGACAAGTCTTAATCTCTGTCTTTGAAAGGGGCCTTTTAGCATCTTAATCGTACAGTAAAGCACTGATGAGTGGAGAAACTGGGAAGGGTAGGAGGCAGTCAGAGCCTGCTCCTGTTCTTATAGATCATTTCATTCCTAAACACACGCAGTGACATATAAACTATAAGTCATGTACAGTATCTATGTTGTTGGACAACACACAAGCTCCATCCCCCCTCCCCATCTGTCTCTTATTTGCACTCTCTTTTTTCTCAATCACAAATCCTGTTCTTGCAACCTCCTACATTTTCTTCTTCCCCTTATCCAACTTCTTTTGCCCTCTGCTCACCTCTTCCCTCCCCCCAACATATTGTTCTCCATCCCTTTTCTGCCCTCTCTCCCGCCTGCTGTCCATCCTTGCCTCATCCTCCTTTGCAACAATATATGTATGACTCAGGCGGAGAACCTACTGCTGGATGCCGACTCCAACATCAAGATTGCAGACTTTGGCTTCAGCAACGAGTTCACGCTGGGCAACAAGCTGGACACATTCTGTGGCTCACCACCCTACGCTGCCCCTGAGCTTTTCCAGGGCAAGAAATATGATGGGCCTGAGGTGGACGTCTGGAGTCTTGGGGTTATCCTCTATACGCTGGTCAGCGGCTCACTGCCCTTTGATGGGCAGAACCTAAAGGCAAGTGGATGGGAGGAGAAACTGTCTGTCCGATTACATTCAGGGGAAGAGTCTTCTCTTGATCATGGGAACAGTAATGAGTTTACATATAAAGGGCTTAAGTTTGCATATGGACAGTAGGAACATGTCCCTACCAATATTTGAGTGAACCTGTTCACATTATCCTCTCTCTAACAGTTAAAAATATGGAACAAATCGCATCTGGTATTCATTCAATAAGGGACAGTGCATTTTACTTTTCAATACAGGACAGTCATGTTTCATGCCTGATCAAAAGTGTTGTCAGTAAGTTAGTTTCAGTCAGTATTCCATCTCTGATGAAGAGCAGAGCACAGCCGCTTAAACTTTGTCTCCTGCAGAGAGATTCTCAAACAGGGTTCTGTATCTGTCAGATGGTCTGAAGGGGGAACTACCATATCAGAAGAGCAATAACAAAATGCACAGCAGACAATAGGGCAGGTTGAGTTTTTCTTTAAATATTATAACTTTATTCTTATTAAATTACAAGTGTATTTTTATAATATTACAACTTTTTTCTCAGAGAACACAGATATGTGGGATAGGTTTTGAGTGAGCAGAAATCTTGCTATGAGCTAATAAAGCCCACATGTTTATGAATTAATTCAATCAAATTAATTTTCAATTTTGTGAATGGGTGTCACATGTGCATTGAAAGAGGTTACTTCCCCAAACAAAAGACACAAAGGAGGATGGAGAAGTTATTTGTGCCTAGATGTGTGTTGGCTCAGCAGGAATAACATTAAATGAGAAAAGTAGATCTACAGGAGAATAAATATTTATATGCTATTCAGAATGTCTGAGAGCCTTCCTGCATTATATTCCATTACAACCTGTTTTTATATTTTGAATCATCAACATATCACCTAAATTTTGTGTTTTCCTTTACATAAATAAAGACATTTCCACTATAAATTTGTGCAGTGAAAAAATCACCAGAATGCAGGAAATTAAGTGTTTGTTGCTCAAAATTTTAAGGGGGAGGACCCCCAGACCCCCCACTTAATATGTGACCCCATCACTGAATGTTAAAATCAACCTGTGCCATTATTAATTGATTTATTAAGGTGTTTCCAAGAACCAATTACTTAGTCGAGGAAAAACTGAGGCACTCAGTTTGGTTCTTAAAAGCTTATAAAAACCTGTACATGAAGAATCTATCCTTAGATACACATTGTTTGGGATTTCAGTGTCTTGAATGTCAGTGCATCCCGAAAGTAATTTGTGATAAAAGTTGTATTTTGCCTTTTTTATGCAATTCATGTCAAATAAAATCCCCCCCAAAAAATAGGTGTGTAACACTGTCTGTTGTTGTAACAGTGTTAACATGTGTCAGATATCCCTGTCTGTGTTGCTGCTCTGCAATGTTTTGTCCATTCTCACAGGTACTGTAAGACTTATGATAAACATATGGTGTTTTGTGACTGAGGAGCTGTTATATTGTGCTGTATGAAACCCATGCAGTTAAAAGTGTGTCTTGTTGAGCATCAGTTGGGGTTGGGTGGTTTGCTTTGCTTTAAATTGTATCTTACATTATCTAATGAGTTCAGTTTACAGTAACAGTAGATGGTAGAATTTGGTAGAACAGCCCAGAGGTTTCTCTGCCCTTTCAGGGACAGAAAAGCTAAATCAAATCCAGAGATGTAGTGGCATCCTGGTGGCTCAGTGATGGCTTAGTGTGTGACTTGTAGAGGTGGCATCCTGGATTTGAATGTGATACAGGATCTTTGTTTTTCCTCCCAGTTGTCGTTCTTTTTTTTCTCAATATTTTTTTGGGGAAAAAAGGAAAAAACGTGATAGTTACAGTTCCCCTGATTGTTTTTCCTTTAAATTGTTGCTTAAATGCCACCCTTTTCTATAAAAATATCTGTGAATTGTGGTAAAACAAATAGACACTGAAAGAAGCTTTCACCTGATGTAGTGTTAAATTTGTTGATGAAAACTATGACAACAACCTTTTTTCCATGACAGAAACAAGATGATGACAAGCTCAAAATAGATCTTGATAATAAAAACTAAGACAAAATCTATGTTTCATTTTCGTTGATGAGAGGAGATGTTACAAAAATGGTGTGAGACTATCAGATGATGAAAGCCAAGAACGGCCTTGCTCGCAATTATTTTCAAATACCGTATGAACGGCAGGCTGGTAGACTCCAGTAAATAGTCTGCACCAGGATGTTGCAGATGAGGAAGAATTCAATGAGACTGAACATATTAGGAAACAGTTGCCTGTTTACACTCAGTGGACATGGAGCAACATTACATTTGAAATTATGTTTGTGCCTGCCTGCTGAAAATAAAAGTTGGTCTTAGAGAAAGATGGTAATAGCATATTATAGTCAGTACTGATACCATAATGCTGGAATAAAACTTGCTTACCTCCATGTAAAGTTCGCAGTTATTGATGGAACAGACCATGTGTAAGGTAGCTGCATTATAGACTGCTGCATCAAGTATTACTAGTATGGAGATATAGATTCAAATGTAATGCTGGTCACCAGAGAACATATACAGAAATAATCTCTTAAGCAAGTAAATACGTCATTTAATCGACTGTATGCTGTTACTGAAAAATCTGGTCTCTGTATGGAACAGTGTACAGTTAGAATAAAAATCATGGGACAAGGATCAAATTTAGTGTTTAAAAGTATTTTTCTCCTCATTATGTTTTCATGTAGTGTATATGCTTATCTTATGTGCATTAAATAAGTTGTTTGCTATTTGAATATCCCGAGTTATATAACAAATGTGCTTAGTTTCCTTAAATTTAGTATTTAATTTCTATTCCAAATGTCACTTCACTGGTGAATAGCAGTGTGAACACATTATTTTATATCTTCTCTGCTGTAACATTATTGTACCCTGTAGTACAACCTGCTGCTAAAAAAACAACTAAAAATAGTATTTTCATCCAAAACCTAGCAGATGGCAATGAATGTCCCCCTGGAGCTCTACCAGAGAATGGAGACAAATGTGTGTTTAACCCTTCTCATATCTGACCGCACCCCAGCATACTGCCTGCAGTGAGGGACCTGGGGATCTGTATGCAACAGAAACCATTATATAGAGTTGGATATGTTACCTGAAACTTCAACATAAAAGATGATGAATTGGAAGTCAGAATTTTCTCTTCTGAGTCAAACTATGTGTCAGGATGCATAGTGCTGTTACTGACATAATGCCCAATGCAAAAGTAGTCTCTTCTCCAATTAAAATTTGTTCCAACGGTAGCATTAAGGTCAAATTAAGTATATTTGATTTTGAAATGTGCTATTTGTGTTACGTGTTGGATGTGGCCAACAGGAGCTGAGGGAGCGCGTGCTGAGGGGAAAGTACCGTGTGCCCTTCTATATGTCCACAGACTGTGAGGGGATCCTTCGCCGATTCCTGGTGCTCAACCCCACCAAACGCTGCACCCTTGATGTGAGAACACAGAGCACATTATGTGTAACTTATCTCATGTTAAATTCCAGTACAGCTAAGGCTTTTTCTGTATTTCTGTTTCTACAGCAAGTCATGAAGGACAAGTGGATAAATTCAGGGTATGAGGGGGATGACCTGAAGCCCCACATAGAACCAGTTGAAGACTACAGTGATCCAGCTCGCATAGGTGAGTCAGCTGGGCCCCTGTAACTGTGGCTGCAGCTTGTCTGTTGGCCTGCTGACCATTCTGGTTCAAAGAGCTTACTGACAGGCCTTCACCGTAAAAAAAACTGTTGAAGATAAAGATGTTTCATATCACTGTGGCTTTTTTGACTTTTCATATGTGGTTGTTTGTGTTCCTCAGAGGTGATGGTGGGGATGGGTTTCACTCCAGAGGAAATCAAGGACTCTCTGCTCAATCAGAAATACAATGAAGTCACTGCAACCTACTTACTGCTGGGCCGCAAAGGCGATGTGAGTTCTAAAGATGTACCCAATATTTCATTATGTATATTAAGTTGACATACACACTAATTTGCAAAATAATGTTTTAAATTAGAATATCTGGAGTGTATCTCCACTCTTCCTTTCTACATCTTCAGCTTTGTTCTGCTATGTTTGCTGCTGGAATCTCCCATGACATTCAGCCAACTATGTGTTGAACAAATTACAAAAACTACCCAAGAGGCATGAAACTCTTCTTTATAATGTTTGACAAATTGTTCACAAATACCTTTGGGTATTATCGTACAGACTAGTTTATCAATAAAATAAAACAATATGGAAAAAATATCACACTGTATTCATACAATTGGATTGTCCACTGTTACATCTTAAATGTGTGCATTGATTTTGCTTAACCCCAAGAAAAAAGGTTCTTGATGATCTTGTAAGTATGTTTGTCATATCAGTCCAGGACTTTAACTGTATATGATGTGGGAATGTCCCCGTTATATATTTTTGGGAGCACGTTAATAAAATGATGTCGGAAGTGACTGAATCCATTTGCAGAACAGATTTGGCTGTCTGGATGAACTGACAAGCTGAACTGAACTGAAAGCAATTACATACAAACCTCCACCTTCTCTTTTGTTCTTTCAATGTCCCAGTCCAGGGTTTCCCACACATTCATTTATTTTTGCCACGATTAAAACATCTGCCGTCACAAACAGATTTTCTGTTTTTGGAGCTGAACTGTTCATTAAGCCTCCTACAGACTGTGAGATTTTAGCAATCTTTTAAGTTTAGGGCAAGTTACACTGTGTGACATGGAACTAATACACTTGGGATTGATGTATGCAGACTGTACAATGACAGTGCCTATTGAACCACAGGCTATGATGAACGATGCAATAGTTTCCCATACTGAGTGCACAAGGTTGCTGCACGGGTTATTACCTCTCCAACTGTGAAGCACAACATAGAGGGTCACATTATTAAATAACCTAAAGTTTTATAGGCACCATATACTGTGGTGTGTGTGTGTGTGTGGGTGGGTGGGTGTGTTTGCTAGCTGCTAGGTTGCTCACACATTACTTTTTTACTTTTACTTTTGCCTCCATAGCAAACTGCTATCCGTCTGTTTGTTTGGGTTTAGCGCCAGTGTGTCATTTCATGCTGCATTTCTATTGGTTGGTTAGTGGGTTAATAGACATAGGTCGTAACAGCAATCACACAGTGAGATGGTCATCCCAAATTTCTGACAGTCAGAATTTTATCCCAGGCTGTCTGTGATAGCAAGACAGTGACAATGGCCATCCTTGAACCTCTCTCAGTGTACGATGTAGGACCACCGTTTTAAAGCCACGACCAAAGATATCGCCATGTTTCTTTCACATTGGTCATCTTTTGTCTGGGACCCACAAAAACCTTTGCATTTTGAGACAGGACACGGAACTATACAAAGGGATGCACAGGCAATTGAAAGAATGCAGAAATTGAGGTTAAGTTTGCTACTTATATTAAAAAAATGATTAAATGTACCTGGTGATATTTCATGTACTTACCCACCTTTGGAGAGCATAGAAGGGTGGTTGGGTAAGGGAGTTGGTTAAGGACAAGAATATGTTGGAAATAAAGTATGGAAGGGAAAAAGGGAAATATCTGGTTATGGAATGAAGGACAATGAAGCTTCCGCCATATCTCAATCAGTGGTCAAAAAGCAGTGAGTTCGATACGCAACCCCTCTTACCACAACCCAAATTTTTATAACAGGTCACACTTTCTGACATCTGTCTTTTCAATATCACTGTGATGTTATAGGAGGGCAGTGAGGCTCGCACTGCTAGTAGCCTGTCCCTGGCAAGGGTTCGACCAAGCCCCATCACCAATGGGACCAACAAGCACTCCTCAGCCACTGGCTCCTCTTCCTCCTCCACCTCCTCCTCACATAGCAAGACCCAGCGCAGTGCCTCCACCTACCATAGGCAGCGACGACACAGTGACTTCTGTGAGTCTCTTCTCTAATGTCTTAATTGTTGATCTATGTTGGAGTCCCAGATGAATGAAACCTGCAATGTTTCATCTTAAATAAAAAACACTTGTGATTCTGCCTTTCCCATACAAAAACAGATTTTGTCCTGAAGAAAGACACTGTGAAGACTTGCTTCATGAGTTATAAAAAACATATGCAGTTATAATGTGCAATATGGAGTTTAAACTAACACGCAGGGGCATGCTGCTCTATGTAGGGGAATTAACATCATATTATGCATGCATACTCTTATCGTGATGGCCCACCAGCAGATGGAGACATGAGGTAGAATGCTTTTCAATGTATGTAATATTCATTCATTGTGCAAAATAAGAAAAAGCATGTTGGCCGACTCTGATAGTTAATTTTAAAGCCGATATTGGCAGATACCAATGACGTGCCAATATTATTGTGCATTCCTAATCAATACCCATATACTCACAGTGGTATAATTTTACAACAGTGACAAACAATGCAGAGGCTTAGGGCAAACACCATTGGTACCTGGCTGCCTGTCATCAACGAAGGGAGAGCGAGGACACGATGCTCAGCAGGATGCTCAGTTTGCTTGCATTAATTCTCTTGGCTGTGATAAGGGAAGTTAAAAAGGGAGGGGCAGAATTAGAACTCAAAAGCAGTTTTCAGGCAATACAACTTGCTTAATGCCATTTACTAAATGAAAAGCACTCAAATATAAATTTAGAGAAAGAAGTACAAAAAAATGTCTGACAAAAAGGGCACTTATTTAGTCTGAGGCCAAAAAGGCAGGTGCTTTAGTACAGCCTGGGATCTACCTGTGCACATGCCTGCTAACAATAAAACCCTCTAGTACCCTATTATCTTACCAGAACACTGAGCTCCAAGAGTACAGGCTTAGTTGTGGTTCTGGAACTGTCCAAATGTAAAATGGGAGCCAGACCCTTCAGCTATCAAGCTTGTCTTCTGCGGAACCGTCTTCCAGTTTTGGTGCAGAGGGCAGACTGATGTCTGCTACTACTAATATTATTGTTTAGATTCAGCATCCATGCTTATGTTCTTCAAATCTTTATCCTTATTCTTATTTTACCATTTTCTGCAGTTTTTGGCATCTACTTCTGCATACTTTCAGCTGCAGAAACCATTTAAATATCAAAACATTACCCTCTTTTAAGACATTTATAGTTGTATTCAGCTATCTTTTACTGTTTATGTCTTAAAATGCGTCAGCATTTCTTATTTCAGCCTTTTCAGTTAATTTTCAACCCTTGACAATATTATAGTTAAGCTTCCACCTTCTCTAGCAACGTATTTCAGCTCTTAGTTACTTTTGGTAATGCAGTTCAGCCTTTACTTCTGCCAGTTTTATGTTGTGGCTTCCAGTTCTTTGAGCTCTTATGTCTTTTGGGCAATTTGTTTCATATTTATGCATTTTCAGCAATGCATTTCAGCTATCAGCATCCACATGCATTTTCTGCAAGAAATGCATTTTCCAGTTTGGGTTATTGTTTATACCATTGTGATGTGACTAGCTGTGTGGAAGGGTTATACCTTGCATAACCCACTTATATTATACAGAATATTCCTTATACGAGTCTCTGTGTCTGTGCTCTGCTGTCCTCCACAACAAAGGCGGGCCCTCCATGCCCGTCATGCACCCCAAACGGAGCCCCACTAGCACGGGCGACCGTGAGCTGCGGGAGGGACGAATGCCTTCACGTAAGGCCAGTTGCAGCGTGATGGGGAGCCACAGCCTCCCTCCCTCCAGCCCAATGGTCAGCAGTGCCAACAACCCCAACAAGTCTGAGATCCCAGACCGCCGCAAAGACATGACGGCTACCACAGTAAGTGACAAATGTCCTCCTCAAGTAGAGAGGAGATTGTGAATCTACACAGTGTGCCACAGAGGTTACACCACTGCTACTAGTTATTCGTCAGTCAACATCATCCACACACACTGCTACAGTCAACTGAACTCATCACCTCTGCTACAGTGATACCAGGATCTCTGATTGAGGGCAAATGTCGATAAAACCATTTAGAATCATTAAAAAAAGGTGCTGCTTCTCATTTCTGATCTTGGTTGTCAGGCATTTCTTCAGTTTCAAAGTAATCCAGGTGATTGTTGTCAGGCACAGCAGATGGACTTTACGTAATCAGATTTGAAAAAATGTAAACTTAAAAATTGAGGTATAGATATTTTCATGTTCACAGTTCAGCAAGGTTCATCCTTAAAAATCTGTCATTGGTTTTCACCAGATAAGTTGTGCAGTGCAGAATAAAGCTGATTGGATTTTAATTTCTGGACGGTGTCTGGGGCAGCACCGAGTCCAGACTGATACAGAGAGTGAAACAGACGGTTGAGCTTACCAGGCTAGCCCACTTCCAGGACAAAGTACCTCTGAATATCAAAGTGACTTGTATTATGTATTTTATGTTTATGTATGTTTGTATGAAAAAAGAAAAAGCGACCAGCCCTACATGAACATGATCAAATACAAAAACATGTCGCATATCCACCATTCCTTTCGATATAATGATATACAACATGGTGTATATATACATATACATACATACATACACATGTAGACATGTCTACATGTGTATGTACATGTACATGTTTTTGTATTTGATCATGTTCATGTATGGCTGCAACAACCTGACCTTAGTTTTTCTTAGTTTTTATCACAGACAACTTTGACCAACTTTATACCCATCTGGGCTCCCTCCTACTATTTACAAAATAAAGTCATGCAATTCAGACTTCCATTTTCCCTCAGTTAAAAGCTACAGTTTATTTCCATTATTCATTTTCACTATACATATTAGTACCTCTGAATATCAAAGTGACTTGTAGTATGTATTTTATGTTTAAGTATGTTTGTATGAAAAAAGAAAAAGTGACCAGCCCTACATGAACATGATCAAATACAAAAACATGTTGCATATCCACCATTCCTTTCGATATAATGATATACAACATTGTGTATATATACATATACATACATACTTACACATGTAGATATGTCTACATGTGTATGTACATGTACATGTTTTTGTATTTGATCATGTTCATGTAGGGCTGCAACAACCTGACCTGTATTCTGTATCTCCTGAACCTTATGCGGTGGGGTGTTGCAGCTCTATATGCATATAAAATCCTCAATATATTGTTTTTACACAATATATTTTTCTACATAGTATATATTTGTTTACACAGTATATATATATTTCTCTATACATGATCGCATGTACCACTAAACATTATATATATATATATACAGTACAGGCCAAAAGTTTGGACACACCTTCTCATTCAATGTGTTTTCTTTATTTTCATGACTATTTACATTGTGGATTCTCACTGAAGGCATCAAAACTATGAATGAACACGTGGAGTTATGTACTTAACAAAAAAAGGTGAAATAACTGAAAACATGTTTTATATTCTAGTTTCTTCAAAATAGCCACCCTTTGCTCTGATTACTGCTTTGCACACTCTTGGCATTCTCTCCATGAGCTTCAAGAGGTAGTCACCTGAAATGGTTTTCCAACCGTCTTGATGGAGTTCCCAGAGGTGTTTAGCACTTGTTGGCCCCTTTGCCTTCACTCTGCGGTCCAGCTCACCCCAAACCATCTCGATTGGGTTCAGGTCCGGTGACTGTGGAGGCCAGGTCATCTGCTGCAGCACTCCATCACTCTCCTTCTTGGTCAAATAGCCCTTACACAGCCTGGAGGTGTTTTTGGGGTCATTGTCCTGTTGAAAAATAAATGATCGTCCAACTAAACGCAAACCGGATGGGATGGCATGTCGCTGCAGGATGCTGTGGTAGCCATGCTGGTTCAGTGTGCCTTCAATTTTGAATAAATCCCCAACAGTGTCACCAGCAAAACACCCCCACACCATCACACCTCCTCCTCCATGCTTCACAGTGGGAACCAGGCATGTGGAATCCATCCGTTCACCTTTTCTGCGTCTCACAAAGACACTGCGGTTGGAACCAAAGATCTCAAATTTGGACTCATCAGACCAAAGCACAGATTTCCACTGGTCTAATGTCCATTCCTTGTGTTTCTTGGCCCAAACAAATCTCTTCTGCTTGTTGCCTCTCCTTAGCAGTGGTTTCCTAGCAGCTATTTGACCATGAAGGCCTGATTGGCGCAGTCTCCTCTTAACAGTTGTTCTAGAGATGGGTCTGCTGCTAGAACTCTGTGTGGCATTCATCTGGTCTCTGATCTGAGCTGCTGTTAACTTGCGATTTCTGATGCTGGTGACTCGGATGAACTTATCCTCAGAAGCAGAGGTGACTCTTGGTCTTCCTTTCCTGGGTCGGTCCTCATGTGTGCCAGTTTCATTGTAGCGCTTGATGGTTTTTGCGACTCCACTTGGGGACACATTTAAAGTTTTTGCAATTTTCCGGACTGACTGACCTTCATTTCTTAAAGTAATGATGGCCACTGGTTTTTCTTTAGTTAGCTGATTGGTTCTTGCCATAATATGAATTTTAACAGTTGTCCAATAGGGCTGTCGGCTGTGTATTAACCTGACTTCTGCTCAACACAACTGATGGTCCCAACCCCATTGATAAAGCAAGATATTCCACTAATTAACCCTGATAAGGCACACCTGTGAAGTGGAAACCATTTCAGGTGACTACCTCTTGAAGCTCATGGAGAGAATGCCAAGAGTGTGCAAAGCAGTAATCAGAGCAAAGGGTGGCTATTTTGAAGAAACTAGAATATAAAACATGTTTTCAGTTATTTCACCTTTTTTTGTTAAGTACATAACTCCACACGTGTTCATTCATAGTTTTGATGCCTTCAGTGAGAATCTACAATGTAAATAGTCATGAAAATAAAGAAAACGCATTGAATGAGAAGGTGTGTCCAAACTTTTGGCCTGTACTGTATATACATACATATTATATTTTATTTTATATGGCAGAATTGTCCTCCTATTGGAGATGTACCATGTGGTGTAATCCTTGCATTATGGGTATTTAAGATGGTGACTTCATTGTAAATGATTGGCAGTCTAAGGAAGAGCATCACGCTCGAAACGTCACGCAAAATAAAAAATTGCATACGGGAGCTCTTTTGGTGTGCGGATCGCTTTTTTCCTTTTTTGTGCTTTTAATACTTTGTGATCCAGCACCCAACCCAGTGGGTTTCGGGGATGTGCGTGTCCTATTTTTTATCATACTTCTAAGTATGTTTGTATGCCTCTTACCTTATTCCCCTCTCTGTAGAATAACATCCCTGGAAGTGCCATGACACGCAGGAATACATATGTATGCACTGACCGCTCAGGCACTGACAGACACTCTCTTCTGCAGAACGGCAAAGACAACAGGTACCGTTTTGTGCTTTATTATTTGTCAGTATGGATCCTTAATTGGTAGAATGAGCAGGTAACAATTTGATGAAGGCACAGCCACACATATTATGGAGGTAAAGTAAAAGCAATTACATAAAGACTAAAATAATATATTAACTTTAAATGATTCATGCAAGATGACTGCTGTGGTAATTTTACTTTAAGATATTTACTTAAAGAAGTAGCTGTTGTCCCCTTCAGTTATTCTGTTGTTAGGAGAATGTGTGAAAATCTGAAATAGAACTTCCAAGTACATTTTGTTTCTTGGAAGCTTGCCGCTTCAATTCCTATACTTCTACTGACATTATGCCCACATCTTCAAATTCAGACAAAATAAGACATATTTCTTCCATCATAGAGCTAACAAAGCTGCTAATCATTAGAAGCTAACACAGCTTACAGACAATGGGGAACAGTGATATACTAGATTCTGTTGCTGATGTCAGTACTAGGGAAGAGTTAAAAAAAAAAAAATCAATGAAAAACAGTTCTACTTTTTATGTAAAAGGTTCCCTCCAATAAAGGTCCAGTGTGTAGGATTTAGGTGGATATACAGGCAGAAATGGAATATAATATAATCAGTGTGTTTTCTTTAGTGTATAATCACCTGAAAATAAGAATTGGTGGGTTTTCGTTACCTTAGAATGAGTCGTTTATATCTGCATATGGAGCAGGTCCTCATCCACGGAGATTGCCACATTGCACTGTCATGTTTCTACAGTAGCCCAGAATGGACAAACCACACACTGACTACAGATAGGGCCAATCGTATTTTATTGTGTTCGCCACCATTGTTGAAAGTCCAATTGCAAAGAGCAGTGCCTGAGTTACACTGATTTGTAACGTGAAATTGCTTCATTCAGTGTTTTTACTGGTTTAAATCACCTGGTCTGGTTATTTTGGAGAGGGGAGACCTCTGTGGATAGTTCCACTCCCGATGAAAGCCTTCTGAACGTCTGGATCTTATGTTACTGGAGAAAAAAGTTGACTACACATTAGCATGTGTTGGACTAGCTCCCCGCAGTGAAATGCCAAACTTCATCAGAAATACATGGATTTGTAATGGAACTACTTAATTCAGTGTTTTTACCATTTAAAATATCTGGATCTGTTTGTTTTGGAGAGGAAGAGACGTCTGTGGAAAATTAAAAACCTCCTGATAGCCTGGATCACAAAAAGGTGAGCATACATTTGCTTATGAGAGAAAAGGGGTGAGCACACAACAGCATGTTGTGGGCGAGTCGCCAGTCTCCAAGACGCCCAACAGCGTCGGAGATGATGATTGTAACATGAAACTGCTTTTTTTCCAGCATTATTAGCAGTTTCAATCGCCTCATCCATTTGTTTTAGAGAGGAAGGGACCTCTGTGGATAATTCAGCTCAAGGTTAAAACCCTCTTAACAATGAGCAATGAAGGAATTCTAACTACAGCCATTTTGAAATTTCATACATGTTATTCTTATGGTCCTAGACAGTCCAAAATAATTAGTAAACGTGAACAACTCTCCAAAATCCAAAAACTAGTGTTGAAACTCAAAATTGTTATGTCATCGGTTATAAAGTCTGCAGATGCTCCGTAGATAACGAACAATGAAAAATGTTCTAGATGACAGTGAGAGCACCCAGGGGAGTGTTCTGAGAATATGGGTACATTTTCTGTTTCAGAACTGAGAAAACTACAATAGATTAAAGCTCATTTGGCTATAAAAACAAAAACAAACATTCTCTGGGTCCACAAAATCAGGCTCCCATTCATTGTCCATGGAGCAGCTCCAGACTAAATACTTAATGACATCAAAAATTTTGAGACCTACCTCTCTGGTTTCTGGCTCTGAGAGAGAGTAGCTCATGTTCACAAATATTGATTTTGCTTTCCAAGGCCATGGAGATAACATATTGGAATTCTTAATTTAGGTGGTGTTAACCTTTAAGTAATGAATTGTGCTGTGCAAGCAAAAGGTAGGGAAATGGGGATTTTATCTAAACAAGTTATATACATTTTAGGAAACCAAATAAAAAGGTAAAATAAATAAAAAATACCAAGGCCAGCTGAGACACAACCCTTCTTTTTTCTTGTCTGCAGCTCCCTGGGCCACCGCTTGCCTGCAGCGTCTCCCTCAACGCTCAGCATTTCTGGGGCCGGAGCTGCCTCCTCCTCTTCCTCTTCGGACCGATGCCGCCTGACCCGAGGCTCCACCATCCGCAGCACTTTTCATGGGGGGCAGCTGAGGGACCGTGGGCCCCCAGTCTACTCAGCCCCACCCACTTCACCCACCTTGTCCCACCATGACGCCAGCCCTCTGCCCCATGCCCGCACCAGGGCGACCTCCAACCTCTTCACCAAGCTGACCTCGAAACTCACTCGCAGGTAGATGCATGCTTCATGTCACATATCACAACATCATTACCACTCTCATGTTTGTGCATTAAAAAAATCATGAAGCTACAGCCAGGAGACTGTTAGCTAAGCTTAGCATCAAGTCTGGAAGTAAGGGGAAACAGGCGGTCTGGCTCTCTTTAAAAGTAAGAACTGAGCCTACCAGCACTATTAAAGATCACTGTTTTTTTTACTCAATAAACAAATGAGATACATAAAAACCCACCTTGTGTAAAGTGCTGGTGTGTGTGTTTTTAACTTTTAACAGAGTCAGGCTAGCTGTCCCCCTGTCTCCTATCCTTGTGCTAAGCTAATAGTCCATTGACTATAGCTCCATATTTACAGTACAGACTTGTGAGGGGCATCAGTCTTCTCATGTAAATCACTGACAGAAAGTATATTTTCCAAAATGTCAAACTATTTACAAAAAATTGATGTCAAGTTTAACTAATAATAATATTGCTGGAATTAAATGTTTTTAATATATGTATTATGTTTTGGGGTTGTCTGTCTGTCCATATGTATTTTCATCCTTATATTTACACTTTAAACCGATAGAAAGGGACTTTTTGTCATTCAGACAAGATCTTGATTTATAAAGCTATTCTCATCAGTTATGACAATCCTTCCTACCTCTCTCCACTCTACAGTACTTTATTTTCAATTCCCACATTTTTTTTGTAGTCATAGAGAAAAGGCAGTGGTGGACAAAGTACTCAGATATTCTACTGAAGTAACAGTTGCAATTACTCTGTTACAAGTAAAAGCCCTGTATTCAAAATTTAACTTAAGTATAAGTACGAAAGTATTAGTATCAAAATATACTCAAAGCACCAAATGCTATCAGAATAATGTATATCACATATTGTGTTATATTTATTGATAAATTCATGTGTTGATCATTTTAATGTTGCAGCTGGTATACTGCCACTCTCGGTATTGCAGTGAAAAAAGCATTTTCCCCATAGACCACCGCTGTTACAGAGACGTCTGTAAAATTGTAGACAGGACACCTTGAACTGCAAACAAGGTCAATTATGATACGTTTTATTATGAATATTTGATCCATGGAAGTTTCATATTTAGAAAACTTTCCCTGAGCTTAGAAAAGTGATTCAAATATCTGTGATGTCATCATAATGCAAAGTTTATTAGCCTAGCTGAACTGGTGGGTCCACAGGTACCCAACAAGTAACCCACAAAAAGCTGTGTTACGGGTAAAAATATGTATATAACATAAAATATGTTCATGGGTACAGGCATGGATAAAAATTAACTACACGCAATCAGGCAGTGAAAATATAATAAAAATGTATTTTAAAATTTCAGAATAAAACAAATGGAAAAGTTGTACAATATATGTGTCATATTTTGACATCTAAATCAATATTATCAATTTGCAATTCCTTTTATTTTTAAAGTCAATGACACAAGTTGAACCTTTGACCCCCGTCACATACGTCAACCACGTGTAGGACTCCAGCCATGAAACTTTGCAGCTGAGGATGAGGTGGCAGCCTACATTGAGATCAAGACACCCAAAGATGATCCTTTTGAGGTTTTATAGTGGTGGAAGGAGCATGCTAAAATGTTTCCTAACCTGGCAGTGATTGAGCAGAATGTTTTCACCATCCTGGCATGGAGCGCAGCCAGTGTAAGAGATATCTCCTCCATTGGATTTGTAATTCAAGAACAGAGAACTCATCTTAATGTGAGTGATTGTAGCCTTTGGTGCAGGTCGGGTTGCGGGACCTTTATTAAGGGGTCAGTTCTGGTACTGAGCTTTACGGTATGGGCGGGTTTTCAAAAGTGGACCCATGCTCTCCCGTGCTCTCTTTAGGGTGTTTTAGGGAACAGCAAATGGGGATCCTAATAAATAAACAAAAACTGGGAAGAGGGTACAATGGCTTTGGTATTTGCATACATTTTTGGTATATTTTAATTTTTGCAAATTTGTTTTTGTTTTAATTGTAAAGTATTTCTTCAAAAGATAAGATTCCAATTCAAACCAAGAAAATCAAATATATGATATGAAATCATGCAGCGTTGTGAAGTTCTTCGTTTCAGCTTGAGCACAGCCTGGATATGGATCCATGCTTATCACAACATTGTATTTACCCAGGCCTTTTGGCAAGCCCTCCTGTGGCCCTGGATTATCCTCTGCTTCCCTCTCCCTCCCAGTCGTCATAATCACACGTCTAATCTTATCAAACCTCAGCTTTATCCTTGCCAATCAGCTCCTGCGCTGCGCTCTTTTCTTCCACTTGCTCTCCTGTGACTCAATAATATACTCTTATCCCCCAACCCCACCCCCTGCTCTTACCTCGTATTCCCTCTTTTTCTCCATCTTTATCTCTTTGTGCTTTCCCCCCGTCATGGCATCAGGGTCAACCTTGACCCGTCCAAGCGCCAGGGCTCAAACAAATCAGTCTCGGGTTGTACTCTTCCACAAGGATCAAAAACAGTTAGTAAGTTCCCATGTCTCTTGCTTCTTACTTGTCTGCCTGTGCTGCCCCATCTGTCTGCCTGCTTCCGCCATCATACCACCATCTATGAATTATTGCTTATTTGCATGACTTGTTAATCATCTTCGTACTGTCAAGGTCCCACATACTTGGTTTCAAGCATGGTTCAAGCAATCAACGAAGATTGTTTTGGTTTTAACTTTCAATGTCAGGATCAGTGTCATTGTCAATACAGACTATCTTTAACTAGTATTTATGATCTTGCATATAAATGTGCCCTTAGAAATACTGTTTGATGTTTTTAGTTTGTATTTGTGGTTGATGGGTAGAAAGTCACTGAATATTTTTTCCATGTGTTGTTGGTAAGAATGGATGGGAGTGTGTAGTACCATTTTTACAGAAGTGATTTAAAGTCAAAGAACTGCATTTATATCTGCATGCTTTAAAAGCTGTGAGCAAGAATCAAAAAAGTACAGTAAATTTAGGTGAGGACACAATGTTGTGCACATCACGTGCTTGGTGTTGTTGATGCTTGCTTGGTCTCATTGTATGATATCCAATACTGAATCCCATCTCATCTGAGTTGTCGGCTGGTCGAAAGGCTGATTTTATTCTAGTGGATTACCTCTTACTCTTCCTGTTTGTCCTGCAGGGTCACAAATGAATCTGAGGGAATCAGGAGATTTGCGGTCACAAGGTCAGTGCACATGTTCCAGCTGCATCAACAGCACATGATCGTTCATTTGTTTGTCCACCTTATTCCTAACCCCCATGATACCTTGCATGAATTTTATGGGTGCCCCTTCTGGCATTGAACCAGAACCAGTGTTTTCCAGTAGTAATGGTATGGTATGCTAATCCCCTTTTCAGAATCAGAAATCAGACATTGTGATTTGTTACAGTTGCTCTGATGTAAAGAACAGAGAATTATAACAAGTAAAAATAAGTGTATGAAAAAGAAGTATGTAAATATAAAGTGATTGAATGTGAAAAAAATGTGCATTATCATTATGCTACAATGTTTAACATTAGTACTTAAGATATTAAGAATAAAATGTATATCTTCACTGTGCTAAGTCTAAGTGTTTAAACATACAAATATGTGCGCTGTGCTACATTATACTGTATAAACTAGTGTTACATTCAGAAATATAAAATATGTATTATGCTATAATGGTTACTACAATATATACATCAATAGAATAAACATTAGAAATATGTACAATTATGCGTATTGTATGTTGAATACATATATACATTCAAGAGGTGTTGGTGAGAATAAAGTCGTACACTGAAGAATATAGCACAGTTGAATAACAGCATCAATTATTGCGCTGTATAAAAAAGTAGTTGTACCTTAAGTCACTATTGCACAGTATAAACATAATAGACAAATATGAATTTTAAATGCATATAGCTGAATTAAGTCTAGAGTAACTGGAAAATAAAACCTATGAAACCCACCACCTGTTACACCTCAGATGGGATAATGTGATATTATTTCTATCATCTCTGACAGCTATCTGAAAGCATTGGTTGTTCTCCTTTTTAACCAAGCTTATTAGCAGTTAGTTTGCCTTGCTACATTAACATATTGTTATTTTTAACAGAGCCCGAGCTAGCTTACAGTAAACATGTACTCCTTCTGAAGATGATTTATGATTTGATACCACTCATAAACAGACACTAACACATTTACTGAACATTTAACATAATTCTGTATCTATTTTAGCTCAATGTGAAGTGAAAAAAAATAAACAGGATGTTTACCAGCTATTGCTCCACTCATCTGCCTTAATAATACAGTTAACACTTTTTTTTTTTATAACTGCTGATTTATTAAATGGAGTTCTATTGAGTGAAACATAACACAGAATTTAAGTAATATCGATAATTAGGGCTGTCAAGTGATTACAAAAATTAATTAATTACCTGCTCTGTGATTAATCAATATAAATTAATTGCATACTTTTGCTGTAAATGTATTTTTTTTTAAAAATGTCAATTCAAATTAATTTTGGCAGATGTGTCATAAAGTTGATGGATTTTAGACACAATTGTCCCCCTGTCCTCCACCACCGAAACTGGTCTGCAGTCCAGTGCAATCCATTTTGCAAGGAAGTTAGTTTGTCGATCGCAGGTAGACTTACTCAGTTTGTGTCTGAACGCCTGGTCAAGTGTGGCTTGATGAGGCTGGATGCTAGTGTTAGCATCAGAGGCTGTGCTAGCTCAAGACCTCAGGGTTCACTGCTAATGTGATATTTCAGACTTGAAGTACTCCGATGGTATGAAAATTCCTTACTGCAGACATTGCAGAGAATGGTGCTCCTATCAACAGTTCCATCTGGGCATTTTTTAAATCTGAACGTTTATTCACAGGGTCAAAGGGCACCACAGTGTTATTAACGTGTTATTTTGTGATTCATTAATATTAATGAATCAAAATTAATGAATTATTTTGACAGCCCTATCAGTAATATAAAGTAGTAGTAAAATAAATAACTTTAGGCAGTAACACTTTCTCAGCCTAGATGACTAAAGACGTATATTGCAATGTATACTGCTGAGTTTATTTTCAAAAGTAGATTGAGAATGCAGTCACACAGGGACAGACAGGGATGTCATGTACTGATGCTGAGTGACAGACATGTTATCCTAGGTATCATTCTCTTCTGCAAATTCTGATTTATCTGATCTTAAAACTCTTGATTTTATTTTTTCTTATGTCTTGTTGGTGGAGATTCTCAGTCACAGCTTTTTGGTACACAGCGGCTACCGTTGTTGCAATACACGTTTGAAACAGTGAGGCGCTAGAGTGCGTTATCTTTTTGAATGCAATATATGATTTCAACGTTAGATGGGAGAAATTTCTACACACTGTGGCTTTAAAGCCTGCAACTCTGTACCAGTCATTTAGAACTGAAGAAACTTCTTGGATGAGAGGCGAAACATCTTCAAGTAACGCAAGCAAGTCCAGTTGTCTACGATATAGCACTTACGGTTTTTCTTATGTCATTTCATACACTCTAAAAATGTAGTGTATGTATTAGAGTTGGGTAATCCTGTCCTGTATTGATTTAATAAGGGATGATGTGTTTTATTTTTTTATTCAGTATAATTCAGTATTAATGTTGTACAGTACAGGTGGCAACCTGTTCTTCACTGTTGTTAAGCGATGGAAACTGTATTGGTGTTAATAGGAACAATCCTTTTTGTTCTGGGTGCATGTTCAACATTGTTGTTAAAATAACAAATTTAGCTACATCTGGTTGTTGGTGACCATACAGATCTGTGACTAACTAGTTTACTGCTGTTCCCACTATCACACCCTAAGTTTTGCCCATAATCATTTTTACAGAAGGGCCCTCAGGAATAAGGTGAATATGAGTCTAACAGAAGCAGCCATGGTCCAATGCCTGAACACTTTTTTGTTCTTCCTCTCCCTAGTTGCCATCTACCTGGGTATCAAAAAGCGTCCGAGCCCCGGGCCGTCGGACGTGGCTGGGATTTGAGAGGTGGTGGGCGGCGGGACCCTGCGGAGGTGGTTCTGGCTCTGCGGGAGGCGGCGCTTGGATGTGGCTGCCAGGTCCACCATGCCGGCCCATTTCTGCTCTCCTGCACCCACGGTGTGGCAGGGGGCCGCGTGGCTTTTGAGGCCGAGGTGTGCCATCTTTCCACGGGCACCTCCGAGACTTCTAACGGGGTGCGCTACACGCGACTCTGGGGGACACCGCTAGCTTTTCGGGACATTGCCACCCAAATCTCTAAGGACCTTGAACTTTGAACAGAGGATGTGTTTGCGTATGCGTGAGTGTTTTTGTGAGTGAGTGTTGATGTGTGTGCGCAAAGGAAGAGGAGGTGGAAATGGGCAAAAGGGGCGAGGGGCTGGACCCGAGAGAAAAGACTTCTCCTTCTGTTTCTTTCATGACGACCCCCCCAGCACACACACACACACACACACACACACACAGATACACGCACACCTGACCTGTAAAGTCACACAGACTGAGGCATCCCCCTCCACCCAATCACCCCACTGAGCTCAGCCAACTTCTTCACTGAGTGACTGCACCCACTGGACCTGGATCAGACGGAATCTAGTTGAATATTTTGTATCGCTACTCTAGCCATAATGACACTTTATTTTGTTATTTATTGCTCTGATCATTGTTTTTACCCACTGTCACTTTCAAAAAACATCTTCTCTTGAGTAATGGCCATCATTGACTAGCCAGTCCTTTTTTTAAATTGTTCTTTTATACCTCACCTTTATGTCTACCTTTTATCCCCTATACCGATGACATGGTTATCTGCTGACTTCTTAACACATGGGGACAAGAACATGCACAGATGTGGATATGGTCCGACTCAGTGATCAGACAAGCAGCCACAGAGGGTTTCATTGCTTTGACTCGTGTACATACAGCAGTGACAACTGAAATGGATTTAGGGCAGTGGGAAAAGGGTTGACAGGCCTTTGAAACAGCCAATCAGAGGCTGACCTGGAACACAAGGAGCCAGTGACATCTTCCATTTCATGAACTGATAGAGCTGTCACCTCAAAATTACATTTGTTTCTCTACAAGAGAAATTAAAAATGTAGATAATGTTTACTGAGAAACAAACTCTGTGGTTAGCAACATTTTTACACATACAAGAAGAAGAGAACATTTTGGTGCAGCAACTCCATGCTTTATTTTTGGTTCTTGCTACACCAATATGTAAATAAGTCAATACAGCTGATTTGGTGAAATATTATAAGGTTATATAACTTTAATATCACTGCTGTCATAGAATACATGTTCTATGCTGGCTCTCTGAAAGGATGAATATAGAGGCCTGCAAAGACTTCATGCACACATGCTGCTCTCTGGTTGGCTGGATTCATTGTTTGTCAGCGCTGGTCATTGTCAGTAAAACTTGTTCAAAGCCTTTGGATTTTCCAACCTCTCACCCATTTTCATCCCTTTACCTTTCTTCAAAAGCATTACACTGAAGACATGACAGCAGAGACACATACTTGAGAATATCTTTCTAACTAGAAGCCCTCTACTGTTTAAATCTTTCAAGGTGATTAAAGCAAGCGCGATACAAATGTGGTTCAGTCTGTTGTCCCACAGCAAAATAACAAATTCTTTGGTTCTTCTCTGTGCCATGTGATCTCGCCTCAGCTATCATCTCAGTATGTTCATGGGAAACACCAAAAGCAGATCAGCCAAGCAGTGAACCTCTCAGATTACACACTCACCTTTACAAACACAGAGAAACATGCACTTCTAAATGTCCACCCTGTCCTTTTTTGTGACACAGTCTATAAACTGGTATGTCCATTATTGATGACTGTGGGCTGTGGTGATCAGGGGGGAGTATTCAGAATCTGGATAGTCACGATGAAGGCAGTGTGCACAGTGTTTTCTTCTCGTTAGTCCAGTTGCCTTTAAAGTGAACAACCCCCAGCGCCTTCATACAGTGCATATTTAATGTAAAAGAGAGAGAGAGAGAGAGAGAGAGAGAGAGAACTGAGAACGCTTTCTATTCTCCCTCCCTGTTTTTAGTGAATAACGTATTGTGATATTTACGTAGGCTACAGAGATCATGTTGTTTGGCTGCTGATTTACTGTTAATACTATCTCTCAGTTGTGGCTTTGCTCTTGGTGACCCGAAACACCCACTTACCCCACTCCCCATTTCCTTTCCTACTCCTCATAAACTCCTCAACACCCTACTTTTACACAGGGGCGCCAACCTTAGCTGTCTGCCACCTTCGTATGTACCACCAACTTTTTTCTACGGTCACAACAAGCATTTGGCTTTCCTCAGCTCTTCGTTGAGACCCTGTTTTCTGGCAGGGGAACACTCAGCCATCATCCACAGTCTCACATTGTAGAACCATGTTTGACATCTTCTTAGTCCTTTTTGGCTTGTGCTGTTTCATGGAGCCCAACAGGGGAGACTGGTGTTGACCTGTCCTCCTCAGGGTGAGAAGCAGACACCAATATGGACACTAGCAGTCTGTCCTTGTCCTCTCCCTGGATGTTTCTCATTGTGGTGTATATTAGCATTAGGTAATATAGACCTCAATGCACTTTGCTTTGACTTGAATCAGCTCCTTCCAGTGTACCTGTATAGGTAATACCCAGAACTAGCCACTGGAGGGTGCCAATGTCTTAAATGTGAAACACTTCAATTTGTGGATATTTGCACAGGTACTTTATTTATTTTTTAGAATAATATAATTTAAAAAACAGGATTTATATCAGTCATTGATGGCTGTATATAAAGTATATGAATATAATATATATCTTAGAGCTCAAGGTTTATTTATAGCTAGAGCAAGGGAAGTAATTCTAGTTTAAAGCAGATTCTGTCAGTGACAATGGGAAACAAAACCAACCTGCAATCCTGCATGACTTCAGAGTTTGGGTTTTGGGGGAAAAAATGAAACATGATACACACCTAGGATTGGAAGCTTTGTGAAATGCAAACATGAGCGGTTTCAGACATGAATTGATACAAAAAAAAAATGGTGCTAAATGTAGCACCCGGTCTTTCCCCCGTTCACAAAAACAAACTGAGGGCTTGGGTGAAATACAGTGACTTCACTCCACTTTGTTTGCTAGAGGATAGGTTCAGTACACTCAAGGGGTTCCGAGTTCTTAGAAGTATTAAGACATGCCATGAAATGTACCACAGCACACAGTGTGTAAGAACAATGTTCAGTTTTAGATCCTGTAAGGACATTGGGAACAAATTGTGCAATTTGGTTTTATTTTGTCACCAGTCCCAATAAGTCCCTAACATGGTGATAGCCCTGGGTTGCATTCAAGCCATAGAAATGTCATGTCACTGTCTCCTGATAGCAAATATGAATGAGGTTGTTTGTGAAGCCTTCCGATGGAAATTGTTGAAGTGAAACAGGCTACAAAGCAAATAACTTAGTGTACAACAACTCACTCTTAGTATAAGATGGATGAACATTGTCTTAAGGTGAGATCTACTGTGAAAAAGTCTTGAAAAGATTTTGTTGACCTGATGTTTGAGTTAATGTGTATACCTGCACAGAGACAGTGTGTCACTGCTCCGAGTTAGATGGTGGATGGGTACAGTATTATGACTCAGTATTTAACATGCACTGTCATTTCCAAACTGACTTTGGAAACAGTTGATGTTATATGCAAAAGTGACTGAAGAACACACACAGTTTGACCTGTATGAGTAATTTTACGCTGCTCTGCTGTTTAATTCCTCCCCTCAGAAACAAACTGTAAACTGTCATCAAGTGGTTATGGTATATAAGGAGAATTGGATCTGAAGATTAATAAAATTCACTGATGTTGGCTTTTTTTCCCTTTATTTTTGTGTCTTGTTTTTACAGTTACAACACAATCTGAATATTTGATAATAGCTTTCATCTGACAAGGTAAGTATTAATATGTGACGGTTAGACTTTAGCCCGTTTTACACAGAGATAGGGCCACTATAGTGTCCCTTCTGTATGCCTCTTTTGCATTTTTACACAGAACCAAACCAAACAACAGTGTGTGATTTTTATGGAGTTAGATTTGTCTCATTAATACCTGTAAATGCACAGAGGGTGATCTACAAATATTTCTTGATCTGCACACGTGTTTTGCTATCCACAAATACAAATTTTTAATTTGTAACTTGTATTTTGGGTTTTGCAAATAGATGTGTATTTGTAAATATATCATTTTTTCATTTGTAAAAAAAAAAAGTTATTTGTAAAAAAACTGAAAATTTTGCTTGTTAAGTGTGATTCAGCATTTGTGGATCACCAATCACACACATGCATCGCTTTCTTCAATGACGTAATTTTGAGACGTTCTTGTCGAATTTCCACACAGATCCACAAACAAATAGCTCATGATTCACAAATGATCCGCCCTCCTCACCAGTAGGTGGCAGTGTTGTTCTGTGCATACAAATATTCCTTCCACAAACACAAATTTCGTATTTTTAACTTGTGTGTTGTTTTTTACAAATAAATGTGTATTTGTAAATATCTGTTTTTTTTTCGTAAAAAAAAAAGCCATTTGTAAAACTGAAAATTCTGTTTGTGAAGTGTGATTCAGCATTTGTGGATCACCGATCTCACACATGCATCTCTTTCCTCAATGACGTAATTTTGAGACGTTCCTGTCGAAATCCAGACAGATCCACAAACAAATAGCTTGTGATTCACAAAAGCACGCCCCATCCCCAACGCACCACACTGCACCGCACCCCCTCGTCAGTAGGTGGCAGTGTTTGCAAGTAGCTGAATGGTTTTCACTTGACCCCTTGGAGGGCAAAACAACACATTTTGCCTGCTGCCTGCTAGTTTAGTCAAAGAGCATGGATACCAAGAGGCGAAGCTCCGTTGAATTTTTGCCAATAGCCACTAGGGGCGCTGCGGTAACGCTGCCGCCATTTTGGACTGTTGAGCTTGGACTGTTGCGCCCAGACAACATGCATGATGTCAAGGAGAGAGGAGAAAAAAGTACAAGAAAACACAGTGTAGTGCAATTAACTGCAACAACTATCAGTGGAACACCCCGCATCTGGCCTTCCACCGTTTCCCGAAGGATCCCGACAAGTAAGAACTCCTGAGGTGTAAGTTTTAAAGTGTTTTAATATCAATTTAATATGCCAGTTTTGGAAGGAAGATAACACACACACACACACACACATATATATATATATATATATATATATATGTGTGTGTGTGTGTGTATGTATATATGGCCTCTTGGACCATATCAGAACTGATTACTGCTTTAGCATTAAAATATAGGCTATCATATTAAAATAGCCTATATATATTATTATTATTGTTATTATTATTATTACTGTCCCCTTACTGTACAAACTGTAAATAAATCTTTATTCCTGACTATGTGACGTCGCCATTAATGTGTTTCTAGTTAAAATAGCCTATTGATTTTTTTTTATTTATTTTATTTTATTTTTTTTTGGTAGATTGGCTTATGGGGTCATTTTGAAGGAGTAATTAAGTTAATCTTCTCATAAGTGGATGTAATATGTAGAGATGCCATCTAGGCCGTTTTTCTTCATTTTGTTTTTTTTAAAGTCTATATTTTGCTTTACAAAAACGTGAACAAGCAGCTGTGACCAAGCTATCACGAGGTGAGTAGCATTGTAAGCATAATTAATAGCGATATACTTCAGTTTGTCTGTGTGTTTTTGTATGCAAGCGGGTCTGCTGCGGTCTGTTGACAGTCCAAAATGGCGGCGGTAGGACGAAACCATGGGCGAGTCTGTTGCTATGGGGCGTTGTATTGAGCTTCGCCTCTTGGTATCCATGCTCTTTGGTTTAGTACAAGCTACAGAAACACACTGCCGCTCCAAAATGCCAGACAGTTGTTGTGTGGTCGGGTGCACAAATCGACGCAGAGAAAAGCCAGGGTTGTGTTTTCATCGTATTCCGTCGGGTTAAGACAACCCAGAGAGGAGAAACCTGTGGATCAGCGCTATCAAACGCACGTCGGTCCCCGGGGAGAGCAAACACTTGTCGAACACTTCATAAAAGGAAAGCTGCTCAAACTTAAGTTCAAATAAACACTGTTTCTCTATATTAGTTATTGTGGTTTTATTCATATATCACATCTTTATGTAAGCGTTTTGATGTGGTTTGTTGTTGTGTATGGAGGCGACCAACCGCAGTGATCTTAGGGGGCTTTCACACCTGAAAGTCCGGACCAAGGTCCGTGTTTTTGCTACATTGTATACATTCGGTCCGGTTGGTTTGGTTTCACACTGCTTTAAGGCGACTGGACCAAATGACACATTGACGTTAACTACGTGGCCTCTAGTTACGCAGACCAGGCAAGGGGGAGGCGCAGCGCACCTGCGCTAACTAGGTGTTTTGCAAGTTTGGCACACCGTGCGCGCTGGCGCAGCTACTCCTCTTTCCCACCTCCGTCCCTCCTACCTGCTCAAGTCGGAAAGAGGGAGGAGAGAAGGCGTGGAGTGGGTTTTACACAGCCGATTCACATCACACCAATCAAATGAGCCCCTCTCGTCGCTCTTAAATGCACCGTGCGTGGCGTAATGAGAGTTTACTCAATTCGCCATGGCAGAAGAGAGCAGCAGCGTCCTCCTCCTCGCAATAATGTACTCCATCTTTGTAGATCACGTTAAGCAAGAACATTTTAACATTTGTATAGGCAATCACATGAAACACGTAAACCCTTAAGACACTGAACATAACTTACAATTTGTTGATAGCGTTTCTCTCGTGCGCACGCGCTCTCTCTTTCTCTCTCGCAGTCTCACTCTGTTTCTTTTCTTTTGACTTTTCTAAGATGACAGATGCTGAATATAATATGATATACTCCCTATCTGATGCTGTGGCTGTTTGTGGTTGGCTGAGAAGGATGTGAACTCATTAGTTTACAGCTGTGTTAATCAAATCAGGTTGGGTTTCCATTACGCGTGCCAAACATGCCAAACGGTGGAGGACGAGGATGAGCCGGCCGCACAGCCGGGGACACAGCTGGGAGCAGCTCCATTACTCATGCCAAACGGTGCCAATCCCCTTTGATCTGACATCAGATGTGATGGGACAGTCGATAGAGAGATACATTTATGTGCTGATTGCAGATAGTTGCATTGAATAGTGGTTTTTGTCCCCCTCAATGTATATGGTGACTACTGCCCTGTCAGCATGCATAATTAGGCTACAGTTGTCTGGGTGCGCAAAGGTGAAGTACGCTGGTCTTGTCATACAAAGTTTGATGGAGTGTCAACTGGACAATATGGAGATATTTGTATCTTGAAAGCCAGTGTCGTGCCAAGGTACTCACCCCCAATAGGAAGTGTTTCCCCTGGCAACGGGAACGCGCGTGCATTCAGCCAAGGTGGACCTGTGTGCTTCCACACCAGGTGGATGTGATTATCCAATTCGTTCATTAGTGTGGTCGTTGGCAAGCAGGGGCTTTGTAATGAGAAGGAAGTAACCTCACAATCCTTATCTGTGTCTAAGGTGTGATAATGCGTGTAGAGTTTTGCAAATCACTGTGTGTTATGTTTTGCAAAAAGTCTGAAGCTGAGTCTGTGCTTATTGTTGTGCAACTATGGACAGGTGTTTTGCTTCTTGAGTGTAAAGAGCTATTAATTGTGTGAAAATTTTTATTTTAGTGCGTAAACAACTCTAAAAAACTGTAAAATCTAAAAAATAGAAGAATCCAACATAATTCCTCAAGAGAAATCTCAATAACTTTTATAACAGAACACATATTCCATCAATTACAGTTGTTAACAATAATTGATTTTGTTACCCAATTCTGGTCCGTGTCATGCTCCTCTTCCCCACAGAAGTGACACGTGTCTGTGAGGTCATCTATAAAGAAAAAAAAGG